AGAGAGAGAGAGAGAAAGGAAGAAGTAAATTAAATAAAATAATTAATAAAATAATTAATAAGTTTCGATAAAAAATTAATAAAATAATTAATATGATCAGGAGACATGGTAATCTCTCGGGTGTCAAATCCACAACCGAAACACTATTGTGTAACTTTACGCGAGCCAGCGAGTTGTGAGTATTCGAGATTATCGGATCCACCGATGAAGTATTGTTAAAGACGATCTTATTGGAGTTAGCGTGACTGTAAGTAGGAGATAATTGAAGAATAATGATATTACCGATTGTTTTGCTTGTGGATAATAAAGGGAGAATAACGTTTATTTATTTACCGTTATTATGACGGATTTAATATTTTAAATTAATAGTTTGTAAAAGGAACTATTAGTTATATTCTACATGGCGATGAGTATTATATGTACTACATTATTATTATTTTTTACTATTATTTTTTAACCAAGAATACAATAAATAATATATTAGAATTATTATTCATTATCATTAACAAATTATTTCTAAGTTAGTATCTAATTCTTACAACTTTAACTTGTCACTCCCTTAAGTGGCTTTTCCTATCCTGCAGATACGAATATTAGCTTTCCTTTTTTGCGAGATGCGGCTATTTAATTGTTGGGGTCTTTCTTCTGTTGACCGAGATTCTTTTTTTATAAATAGTTGACTGCGTTTAAAATTTATGACGGAACGAGATCACAACCGATGAGGATTCGAACAAGTTTTAGTTCAAATTTTCATTACTTGCGATTTCATGTACTTCTATGCATTATGTTGCTCTAGAGTTATATTTTACGGAGAATCAATAGATGTTTCACAAAGTTATCGTTCTTATAATCTTAAATTTTAACATTGAAGATGACCAAATCGCATGGTCGTAACGTTTGTTTTATATTAATTATTACATAAATTGATTTAATATAATGTCATTTTAACATTAACAACGTTTACTTTCTGGCCTTTATGCTCTATTGTTTTAGATATATGATTATTAAAAAATAAATTTAAATTAAATATATTTAATGTAATTAAATGTATTTAAATTGTATTTAATTGTATTAAATTTAAATTAAATTTAATACAATTAAATACAATTTTAATAAATACAATTAAAAAAGATTTTTGCAAAAGTTTATTAATACCGTTTTACAATTCTTATGATTCGTAACGAATAAATATTCAGATAAATTTATGTTTACTCTTAAAGAAGTCTAATGGAACTTTTTAAGAGTGCTAATGTTTGCCGAAACAATTTCTATGTTAAAATATATAATAAGTGCTGCAGATAAATATTTTGAAATCAAATAGACAAAATAGATATCCTGTTAAAAAAATTGATATTATAAAATTATTATAACTGTTACTGTATACAAAAATTATCTAACGATATTAAGAACATTTTAAATAATACGCAGTCATATTTTTTACATAATTTTGAAGTTTGCAATGTAGTATTCCAATCATTGTGAAATATTAATTATAATTAAAGTATTAATAATAAACTATGTATATGTATTAATATAAGATTTTATGTGTCTGTATTTCAGACGAGCGCTTGTACATTTTGTCTTCAACATTCCGAAATAAGGAGTTATTTAGGTTGTTATCACGTATCATGTCTATTCTTTTATCTACGAAATTAATATAAGCACATGTTAAATACGTATATTTTTTGTTGAATTATTAAATTTAAAGTAAAAACTTATAACATGAAGTGTAA